ACTAGTCTACGTTATCGCAACTCAAATGAATTCTTTATATTTTCATCCCCGTTCAAACACTGTTCATTGGGCACTCACTGACCTTTTAATTAGCCGCACTGTGAAGATGGCTGTTCACATTGAACGCTTTCACCCACACCATTTCCATCTACGAGTTCCTGTTTTTCTCAGTTTTGTCTTCAATTTCTCAATTTTACCACCCTCGATTGGCCGCCCATGTTCACCGTCTTCCGTGTGGGCCTCTGCTTCTGACCCTGGTCTAAACCTACAGCAATTTGGATAACGTGGACAACTAGGATACCATACTTCTACGATATCCCAGGGTTATGAATCTATTTCGACGGTTACGAGTCACTGAGAGCACATGCAATTGCGAGCCAAATTTTACGCGGACGCCTGATATGCCTATTATATTATAGCCTTCTCGCATCCTTCCCATCTTTTTCGCGTTTCATTTTGGCACCCTGAATCCATCTTTGCACCATTTTCACTTACCACCAATCAAACCACAGACGAGGTAAGACATTTTATTCCATCTCCGATGGCTATCCCAGTACGAAGATACAACGTTAAAATCATAATTCGAGACTTTACCTACTTGATTTACGTAGAAACTAGTTCAGTGATGGCGAGTATCAGCAGCAAAAATCAGAGTCCCTGCGGCACAACCATTTATTGCCGAACCTCAATGGTCGGGCCAGCTAAGATAAGCCTCGAGATAACATATATATATCACGTCTCTAGCCGGGCAGTTATCCCCGGGATGCACACAGTACGTCCAGAAGTGTGCACCCAGTAATAGAGTCCGAAGCCCAAACCAAAGGGCTCACACTAATCAGCACTCATGGCTCGGAGGGGCTTGACAAACTTGAATACTTGAATTTTTTTCATTCTCACCGGGAACCCAGACGAACAAACTGGATTGCTAAGCCAGTCGGGTGAGCGAACGGGCATAACACACCGTTGAAACCACAGCCAGGCTGGCTGACTGGGGTTGGAGAGGATGGTGTACGCGCATTTCTAGTCAAGTCGCTCGGTTCCATCACCCCAGTGTTTTGGCCACCACAGCCAACGATCGATAACACCTGGCTTCTCACGCACACGTTTCAGCGCCTGAGGGGCAACGCTGGACTGCAGGCCATGGTTACCAATACCCATCGGTGAGTACAACTAGACGAAGTAAAAGTACGGTATTTCCCTAACGGGTTGTGCTATCACGATAATGTGGTCACCAAATGCTGAATAGATAAAAAAACCACATTCAGCAACGAAACAGATTTAAAACCTTCGAAAACGATTGATCGAAAATTAACTGTGCAGGCTGCAGCAGATGCACGTGAAATGACTGATTACAGCTTAGAATCGATAATTTCATTGCACCTAATGCTCCTCGAAACTGTGGGCACAAAAAGGATTAATTCGCTCTGTGCTTCTGTCTGACTTTTCTTATATTGAGTTGTGTTTGATCACAATCTTCTCAGTCTATTTAATCCAATTCACAGGACAAATTAAGGCCAGGAGCTTGACACTGAGCACGACAAACCGACTGGGTCCAGGAACCTTAGGCTTCTGCCTCGAACCCACGTATCAATCGCTGAATCTGTAAGCACGTACGGCATATTTGCATTCGTATAGGCTTCTACACATGGAGTCGCTGATCTAGTTTCATAGTATGCCCCGAATAGCTCGTGCCCAACGTAACCAGTTAACAACAGTGAGACAGAGGTTTGGGCTGGGTTCTGGTGAGAACAGAAAAATTCAATTTCGTCACACACCACCGAGTCATGAGTGGTGATTTCTGTGAGTTCGAGTGGGGTCTCTGGTGCGAAATCCAGACTGCATTGCCAGGTCCATAATTCTGGAACGTAGAGTTCGATCAACTCTTTCAAAAAAGCTGCTTGATAACAAGGGAGAAATTTGGGGTGATCGCACAACACCCGTGTTACGCACCTTGGTGAGACGCACCACCGTGGCTGTCAACATCGTGCCATAACAGCATTGATCTTACAAAACACTGGAGGTCCCACCGAGACTCGAACTCGGGTTGCTGGATTCAAAGTCCAGCAGTGATGAACTCCTACACCATGACCGATGCGGAAGCGGCTTCAACAAATTGCTTTTATAGCACCTTCTAACCTAAAACGTTAAATTTGGGAATTGAATACCACTCAACTGATCCCAGTTTCCACTTCCTATGGATTTTTAGACCAGCACCGTTCGACAGAATGCCATATACTTGAGTTCCGCTCTTACTATAATTTGTCAGTAATGAATATTCTTACTGAGAATAGTTAACCCTATTTTCGGCCACTCGTAGAGGCAGCAGTTAGATAACTGTGCGCATCCGGTCCGGAATATAGACCTTGTAGCGAACCCTTAGAATGGCATAATTTTTGTTGGTATTTTGTTGTACAATTTGACACTTCCTGATGAGGCATGTTTGTTTAGCCCAATTGTATGCCCTATTTCCGCTAGCGTGAAAATTGTTCACTCTTCCGTTCCGCGCGCTACACGCAGGACGCTTGCTGGCTGTACATTTTCTTGTTTCCTCGGTCGTGGCAATATATAGAGTACTGCGCTGTTTGTTGTCTTCTGAATTATTGCCATTGGGTAACTCATCGAATCTGGAGTGAGACTTTGTGGGAGTGTTCCCACAACCTACACCATTGATTACACCAAAGGTTCAAAGGCAAACAGATTTTCCATAGCAATCTTACTGAACGGCCGATTATTTCTTTCACATCTGTAGTCTTCTTCCACGGTTTTTCAACTCCAAGAGTCCACATGAAACTTCCGTACCTTTTAAGCTGTTCAATCTACACTTATCCGACGTTTCTGTTCTCCATCTGTTACCTTCAGCACTCAGTATCTTGGGGCGTTCTTATTCAAGTTTACACAATCTCACGATGTGTAACGACAGTTGTCGCTGCTTAGACTCCAACGCCCTGCTTACCTATTCCAATGACTCAAGTGAGATCGGTTGATCACCTTAGAATGTGACCACAAGCCCAGTGTTTGTGCGAATTCCGCTGTAGGCCCAAACCATACACATTAGCATGTGACACAGGGCCTAACTGAAGTTGTCGCGAGTAATGGGAGTTTCAGGTGACCTTCATAAAAGTCTATTTGAATCATGTTTGTTGTCCATAAATTTTTTGTTTGAAATTTTCCACTTCCGTCTTAAAAGCAAATGGGTAACCCCAGAAAGTTAATAGACAGGCACGGAAGACAAAAAGCAGCACCCAAAAGGTGGTCACTGTAGAGAAAAAGAGCGTCAACGTAAAGCTATTCCTAAAGGTAAATATATCGTGGGTCTAAAATCACAACAATTGAGATTCAGTTAAACGAACATTCAATGCAGTTGAACCCCGCGTAATCGCTCAGACTCAGAAACCATCAGTACCTTCAATCAAAGGAGATCAACCTATCGGTGCCACTTCAACACTTGTTGTGGTTTGTATGTACTGCGGAGAAGCTTACGTAGACAAAACTGAGAGATGCTTGAGCTCCATAATGAGAGAATATTTACCTAAATTAATGTAGAAATCCACGTTACCGGAGAGCGGAGATGTTGCTGTAACACGTGAACGACCAGTTTCCTAAGTAGCTGACCACTGTTCACGCTATCGATCTATCTTGTACATTCATTATCCTGTTACGTCATTCTAACTCAAGATTCTTGTGGTTTGCTAAATCGATCACAATTAGTCGACTCAAGCCAGCTCTCTGTGTTCAGTAACAACTACTCGTGAATCTGATCCTCCATTGGACTTGATGATCTTTCCTAACCTGCTTATTGATTATACATTCCTCTATTTTTTTTCCTATAAAAAACCCATCCGTGTTATTTTAAATTTGGTACTGACGAATCAATATGAAATGCCCGCTCATTTAGTGTCCTAACTGTTTTGTTCAAACTGCTTAAGGGAACCGATTGTTTCAAATCACATTTTTGTTCGGGATTTTATTAACTGTCTGTTACGTTCTGTGGCTCACAGCGGCAGACTAACCTGTGTAATCTTAAGAAATATCATGCATATTGGTCCACACAACTCTGCAAATATATTGACATCGACGAGAACAGCCGCTTCAATAGTTACTCCGCCAAAGTTATTTAGATTGCAGAGCTCTAATAAGCTGGACGTTAGACCTTCATACAGCCGGTGCAGATACAATGTACGAAGTACTATGTACAGCCGGTTCGTACCGACATAATCCCCCGGATGACGTACCAAGCTTCATGCATGCTTGGCAAATTTATCTAACCAGGTAGATAACGGAAGCTATTTATGCACATGCGTGTAAGTACATGCGTGTGTTTTGTGCCAGCATGTGCAACTGGCGTATGCTCAGTTCTCGGCAAAAAGTGACAGTCTTCGCAATAATTACCGGACGGGCCAGTGGAGTTGGCGTTGCAAAGTTGTGGCGAAGGCTAACATGCGCGGTGCTACTTGATACGATTGATTTTCTGGAAAGAATCTCTTACTGATACACATCTTATCAACGGTCTGTCTGCTGGTGAGCTGATGAATTGCGCATCACATTTAGGCACTACATTTCACACATCAATGCTTCACTTGCTTTGTATAGTGTAACTCAGCACACCCGCAGTCGGTAGGTTGGCCGAGTGGTTAAGGCGTGGACTTAAGATCCACAGGTAATAACGGAAGCTATTTATGCACATGCGTGTAAGTACATGCGTGTGTTTGTGTCCAGCATGTGCAACTGGCGTATGCTCAGTTCTCGGCAAAAAGTGACAGTCTTCGCAATAATTACCGGACGGGCCAGTGGAGTTGGCGTTGCAAAGTTGTGGCGAAGGCTAACATGCGCGGTGCTACTTGATACGATTGATTTTCTGGAAAGAATCTCTTACTGATACACATCTTATCAACGGTCTGTCTGCTGGTGAGCTGATGAATTGCGCATCACATTTAGGCACTACATTTCACACATCAATGCTTCACTTGCTTTGTATAGTGTAACTCAGCACACCCGCAGTCGGTAGGTTGGCCGAGTGGTTAAGGCGGTGGACTTAAGATCCACTGGGGATAATCCCCGCGTGGGTTCGAACCCCACATCTACCACCACTTTTCGACACACCCGAACGAGAACACAAAAGGCTGGTGGTGCCGTCGAAAGGTATTTTGAGTCCACGGTGTAGAGAGAAGTCCACAAATAGGCTGAAATGGATAATCGATTCTTTTAGCCTTCAGCTCCGCAAAAGACAACATAGAGCGCAGAGGGAACGAACGGCTCGCAACCCTCAATAAACGTGTATTTTCGATTCACACGGTGTAAACTCCAAGTTTGATGTACACTAGTATGCATATAATCTTGAGAGAGGTAAAAAGTGCGAAAAACAGTGAAAATTACGAAATACGAAATGCAATACAAGCGCTGAACCTCTGCGATAATTAATTCACACGACTGATCACTATTCGTGGCAGATACCTCATTTCAGTGTGAGACATGGAACGATCCTAGCGGTTAGAAATGCCGAACTAAACTATTTTGTCCTGTAGTTACTTTTCAATCAATAATTAAACGAAAAGTGAGAATGATGTGTATGCTTTCAAATAAAGTTTCAGATGTTGTTGATACAAGGGCATATAGAAACACGCACGTCATATCGATAGGTGACGCGAATCGAGGAACCATCCACACTTTCGGTTTAATCGCTGGGCGACTGCTGGCCCCTAATCACTCAAACTACCATTCCGCGTTATATTAGCATAACGCTACAAATGGTCTAGTACCAGACCATTTGTACGTTTGGTGTGGTAACTATTGAGTCTCCATGCCCAACGATCCTTCTGTATAGTAAGTCCGGCTAACGCACGTCTGTGGATATAGACCTAGTGTGTTGTACCAAGTACCATGAAACCAATGCGTGAGGCTGAATGATTTTGGATTCCCACAATTGCAAGTCACCGTAAACTACACATTACGGCTGTAGATGTGAGGTCATAGTGATTAAAAAAAACCTGCGTAAGTGTACGTTTTATGCAATCGATTGATGGGAATAAACGAAGTGCTCGTATCCCACCATGGGTCTTCCCGCCACCTTAATGAACTAGAATTCTAATCTTTCTATGATCCGCATCGTACGTTAAATGACCATAAGGAACCATACTACTGACTATTAGAAAGTAGTAGCGTGCTATCACCTTATAGGGCTCGTCTGCCGTTGCTCTGTTCACCCTTATCGTTTCTCCCCTCCCGTTCCCATCACTGTAGCTTGTATGCTTATTCGGCGGTTATTCCATAGTAACTGGTTGTTTTGTTGTGTCATTTGTATTGGTGCACTCTCCGATCATAGAGTTGCTGAGCTTCATCTAGAAAAAGTCACAGAACCTGGTCTTATTCTGTCACATCGTCGTGATCACATGAGATCCATCCAGAGGAGCTGACCAATATCCTTAGTGCATCTAAACTCCAACTCAACAGCTCGATACCGAAATTCCTGGGTTTCATTCCGACAGTATTTCAAAAGTAAGACTACGACGGCCAAGCGGAAACATCTGGCTGCGGTGCAAGGAGAAATTTAGAAGACGGTGGGACGGACCATTTGCCATCACGAACTGCAGGAATACCGAGCTTCCAAATTAACCGGCATGTTGGACAGTAAAGATTGTGCTTTATTGGACGCCTTCTCGCTACAGTATGTCTAGGCCGGCTCTTCGTAGCATGTGACCACAGTGTAACGTCCACATATCACCGCTGAACGGCCCTCACGTGCACACAGCCACGATGGTTTCTAACACATCACAGTTTTAGAGTTTCACAGTTTGTCAACACCAGTGCAGTCAAAGTAACACTAATGCACACAAGCACGCACACATACATCACACATGGTTCAACCCAGCCTCGTCGCCGGGGCTGGCAAAACAACGATACCGCTCAAACATGAGAACACAACTTACGTAGGTCTAGTACGCCGATAAACAAATACAGTGCTCCGTGGAGTGCGCAGTGTTTCAATCCTGTAGACCACTATGTCGACATGTATAGGATTTCA